TGAGCAGCCCAGCAGGAGCCTCAGGAACCATGCGAGCTCTTGGCGAGGGTGAGCTCCCATCCCCACGTGCCGCATGCATTCCAGCCAGCCGCCTCCCTCCCCAAAGCCAGCCCAGAGCGGAAGGAGGCGAGAAGACAGGCAAGTCCTGATCAAGAAGTGCAGATACCTTTGGAGTTTCTTTTTACATTTTTCTTCTTCATACCTTAGTAGGGAAAATTCAGTTTTAGTACAGCCGGTGCAGGTTTCCGGGCTCGCCAAACCCAAGCCAACCTAAGCATTCCCAGCACCGATGTATACGAACGACTTTAAGCAAAAGGGTTTTTTATTTTTTTAATTTTTCCCTCCACAGGAGGGAAATATTGTGTGTCTCCCTCCAACGTTCAGAGCGACTGGGCATCTTTGAGGCTCCGTCCCATTCTGGGAAGGGGGATTAGGATCCCTGGAAGGAATTTGGCTCAGACTTGGTTAGAAAGAACGGACTCGGAGCCTCCGTAACAATCCCTGAAGGCAACTGGAATCCCTTGGCAGGGATCTGGGCAGGGCAGGTTGACTTCCTCTGAGAAAGCACCCAAGAGCGCCAGCCATTCATTTGGATTTTAACAACCAACTCCTGGGAGGAGCCGGTGGTTGCTGCCACTCTATCCCAACTCCTTGGAGGGGAGCCCTTTGGGCCTAGACCTCCAGGCGCTCTGGGGACCGGGGGATACAAAAGAAAGAAAGGGGGACCTACTGTTTTATGCATTCGGGGATGTTCACGCTGTCCATGGGGACGAGCTCTGCCAGCTCTGCCAAAGTAAAGACGTATCTGATTTTTTGGCTGAATTTTGAGCTGAAAGAGACAGGAGGGAAACCGTCACCGCTGCAGCGCTAACCGATGCGTAGCTTAATGAAGAAAGGGATAAAATGTGGTGTCCGTTACCTAATAAATGGCTTTGTGATTGCCAGAAGTGTTCTGATGAACCAGGAAGGATGGACTATTATTAAGGACTTCAGGTTTTTCCTTAACCTAAGGTCAATAAAAGCAACGCAGGGTTTGGCAACGGAAGGCAACACCCCTCTTCCCAAAAAATTATGCAGTGTTTCCAGTCGCATATGAGACAGAGCCCCTTCCCCAATTCCCACCCCACCCCCCTTTAAAGAACTCTGTATTGCTCTTCCAGCCTCTTCCAGTATCCTTCTCCCCCTATTTAATCTTACCTCCTATCGATTTGCTGGTAACACTTCCTGAGCCATCCTAAGCTGGGCATTCTCCGCCGGGTGGTCGCCCCGTTGAGATAAACAATCATATAGCTCTCCGCTATTAATAATTCTAGGGAGCCGATAATGTATCTGTGGGAAGGAAAAGAGGAACAGCTGAAGTGGCAGCTTGATTCACACNGTTGGGGGCAATATGCTGACTCTGTAAACCGCTTAGAGAGGGCTGAAAGCCCTATGAAGCGGTATATAAAAATCTGCTATTGCTATTGCTATCTGATCAAAATTCAGATACCTGACAACTGCTCTTATTTGTGACCATTGCAGTGTCCCGGAGATCATGCGATCCCGTTTTGCGGACTTCTGACAAACAAAGTCAATGGGGAGCTCAGATTGACTCAACAGCTGTGTTCTTAAATGAATCCTGCTAACTACCAGGATTCATTTAACAACTGTGACAAGAAAGGTCGTAAAATGAGTCAAAATTAACTTAACAAATGTTTCACTTAACAGCAGAAATTGTTGTTGACTTATGGCCCTTTTTCACATTTACGACCTTCGCAGCAGCTGATCATGTGATCAAAATTCAGACGCTTGGCAACTGGTTCATATTTATGACCATTGCTCTGTCCCGTGATCCCCTTTTGTGACCTTTTGATAAGAATAATCAACGGGGAAGCCAGATTCACTTAATAACTGTCAACAACAATCCTGGTGTGCAGGCCAGGCGGGGCAAGGAGAGGCGATAGCCTCAAGCCAAGTCCCAAATCATGATACTAACTTATCAACTGCTGTGATTCACTTAACAACTCGGACAAATAAAGATTGTAAAATGGGGCAAAGCTCACCTGACAATGTCTCACAACAACAGAAATTTTGGGCTCAATAAGTGGAGGGCTACTGGGTATTTCTGGGGTTGATTTCATGATCTTTGCTGCTGAAGGGTTTCCAGTCTGTGACTGGTTGATTATATGTCATGTAGTCCATGTCGACTCCTAGCAACACATAGATTTGAATTTCTCCAAGAGGATCTGGCCCTAACTTGGTCCTTTGTGCCCTCATCGGCACGTTAACTGGATCCATCTCCAATGCTGATGGGCCTCCTATTCCCAGCATCAGCGCCAGCTCCAGAGAACTGGATCCTCATGTATGTCCCAAATAAGCTAATTAAAACCTGATCATTGGTACCTCGAGTAACAACTCTGGGTTGATTTGTCCGGCAATCCATTTGCATGTTTTCTTCGCCATTGATAGTATTCTCAGGAGTTTTCTCCAAGGCTGAAGCTCAAAGGTATCCATGTTCCTCTTCTGCTTTTTCCAGTCTTGCCCTGCCCATTTTCCCTTCTGCCCTTCAATTTCCTTTAGGCTCCCATAGTGTGGTGCAAAGGCCTTGCTCCCGGGGGTGAAATCAACTTACCTTACCAGTTTGCAATTGTGAGCGTGCACGCACATGCTCACAAGCTCCACCTCCGTGCATGCAGTGTCAAAAACAGGACGGGATGATATCCGGGTGGATGGAAGGAACCTCCCACTGCCATCGCTACCGCTTCACCTGAACCGGATAGAAGCGACTGAATTGCTGGATGTATCCTCTCCATAGACTTTCCTCATAGAAAAACCTTTGTGTGTGCAACTTAAGTTGCAAATTCTGGAGCTTAATCGCTGAGGTAATATTTGACTTTGTCCCCATCAGACCCTGCCCTTCTCCCGGGGTTCCAGTTTTTCTTTGGAGGAAAGCTGCCACTCTGTGAACAAAATGGGATTTTGCCCCCAAGGAAGCCATTTCCATCTTGATTCCCCGCCCATCAAATGCAAATAAAACCCCTGTTTTGTTTCCAGGGACGTCCTTCTAAGTAGTTTCACTTCAACTTTGTAGTGGCTTCCACACTGGAAAGGAGCCCTTTATCAGGGCTGTGTGGAAGAGCAGTTTAATATTTACCCAGGGTAAGTGAAGATAAGACTGAATGAAGTCATTTAACATTTGCATTGCTGAAAGGTGTCTCTTTTGGGGCTGCCCTTGAAGACTGCGCAGAAGCTACAGCTGGTCCAAGATGCTGCAGGAGAATAATAATGGGCACATTCTAGTTTACTAAGATGTTTCAATAGAATCAAATACTTTTGCTCTCCATGAACGGATTCACACAGGAGAGAAGCCATATAAATATCCAGTGCAAGAAGTGTTTTAAAGTGAATTGTAGACTTACTGACCTCAAAGAATTCACCCAGCGGGAAAGCCATACAGTTTTGTTGAGCATGGAAGGGGAATCCTTGAGAACAGCAGTTTTATGCAACACAAATCCACAGGCAAGAAACCACGTTTATTTATTTAGAAAATGGCAACGGCAGCCCACTCAGTCTCAGTGACTCAGGGTACTTACAAAAAATAAAAATAATATATACAACAATAAAAACAATGACCCCTACCCCTCCGGCAACAGTAATCAGTCAAATTAGCCACTCGATGGGCTCCATCCCACTCCAGGTTCTCCAGGCCCATCCGTTGACAATATCAGGTCTCCAGGCCTTGCGAAAGAGTGTGCAGTTTAAGCAGGTTAATTTCCATGGGGTTGATGTTCTAAAGAGAGCCACCACCGTTAGAGATGGAGCCACATCCTGCCAACAAAACTGACACTACGTCCGTGTGAAGTTTTCATGATCGGCCCCTTGGCTCTTTGCTAGCAGATGCCAAAACTAGAATTGACTTTCAGCAAAAGCACAAATAAAGTGATTAAGATGGGGTCTCTCTGGCTGAAGCTAATTTATGACTCACTTGCAAAAGCCCCTTAATAATTTGCTAATAATTAATAGGCCAGGCCCTCAAGCCCTCACCCCTCTAGTGTCCGATTTAAATCATTAGGCTGTCCATCTTTGTTATATACTTACTGTAGACAAAATAGTTCTGGTTCCTATGTAAAGCTGATTTTATTTCATATACTCCATACCAAAATTTTATAGTAAAAGTTTCAAATTTCCAAATTTGGACCCTTACTTCATTTGTAACTCTCTCACTTAAAAATCTTATTAAGCTTTTTTCCTACCAGTGTTTCCCCAAAAATAAGACCGAGTCTTATTTTGGACCCCAAAATAAGCACTAGGGCTTATTTTAGGGGTGTCTTATTTTCCTCCCCATATATGTGAGGCCCACTTCTTCTGCTTGCTTGCGGTGGGGCAGAAGGTTGCATGGTGTGCCAGTGCTGCTGCCATGAGGCAGGGAAGGGTGGAGCTGCCCTACCCGCCCTGCATCGGCTTACCTCAGAGCCTCTGCAGTCTGGCTCCCCTCGCCTTGACTCCTGCTGCAGTGACAGCTCTGGCAACTCTGTCCAGCAACACTCTGCTTGGACCCCAGTCCACTTCTTCAGCTTGCTCACGGCTGCAACAGAGCAGGAGGCTGAGCAACACACCACTGCCATGGCCACAAGGTGAGGCAGGGGGTTGACCTGGTCCACACGCCCCATGTGGGCTTATCTCAGGGCCCATGCAGCCAGGCCATCCATATCCTGACACCTGCCTTTCTTCACCGATAGGGCCCCAACACACCACTCAGACTCCTGCTCCATTGCAGCCCAAGCAGAAGAGGGCCAGAAGCCACTTGGGCTCCTGTTGCAAATGGCTGCGGGTGCTGCTGCAGGTGTTGGGGTGTGGATGGCCTGGCTGCAGGGGCCCTGACAGTGGTGGGATTCAGCCAGTGGGCACCTATTCGGGAGAACCGGTTGTTAACTTTCTAAGCAGTTTGGGGAACCAGTTGTTGGAAAAAACCTCCTTTTGTTTTTTCCCCACTTTACAGGGCTAATCCTATAAGGAAGGCAGGAAGGAAACATTCTAGTGTTG